CGGAGTTGAGAACAGTAGGTCCCCCCACTTATTGTTATTTTGGGCCCCCACCTGCTGCGCAGGGGTGGGGGCCCGGGGGAGGACATTAGGTCCCCCCAATTTTTATTTATGGCCCCACCCACCACTCAGGGGTGGGGGCTGGGGGGGGAGTACATTAGGTCCCCCCCAATTTTTATATATATCCCCCACCCACTGCTCAGGGGTGGGGGCCGGGGGGGGACAATAGGTCCCCCCTTATTGTTATTTAGGGCCCCCACCTGCCACACATGGGTGGGGGCCGGAGGGAGGACAGTAGGTCCCCCCCTTATTGTTATTTAGGGCCCCCACCCACCGCTCAGGGGTGGGGGCCAGGGGGGACAACAATAGGTCCCCCCTTAAGTCTAAAAGCCTCCACTTGCGCATCGTGGGTGGGGGCTCAGGAGGCTGCTCACTGTTTAATAGACATGACCCTACTCGCGGTATAGCGAGTAGGGGCATAATTTACTAATACTAAGTGACCAGCTTCTATAGAGGCTGGGTCACATGCTGCACTAGCCAATCACCATTAGTAGGCATGGCTGTGATGGCTTTGAGGGGCACACGAGTCAAACGCTTGTTGATTGGCTGCCCTGCAGCCTTTCAAAACGCATCATTAAATCGCCGAACTCCGAACTCTGAACTCCAACCCAAACATACAGTGATATGTCTGTGTTCGGGTCCGGGGTCCAAAAAACTTAATGTTCGGTACGAACCTGAACTTTTCAGTTCGGGTTCGCTCAGCTCTACTTAAGAGTTAAGAAAACATTGTCCTAGACTATGATATAACAATAATAACAAAGCAAGGAGTTTTCACCTTGTAGTGTGTACTGTTTGGATGTGGCCAAAAGACCACTTGTCTATGCCATAAAAAAACAAAGCAAACATTATTCAGCCACAGTACAATTGAAGATTTTGATTACGTTGTATCCCACCATCAAACAAGTGAATCTAATAATTCCTTAAACCATTAAGCAGTTAACAAAATGCCACTGAAATATTCAATGAGCTATGTCTACATTATTTACTACTTTGTTGCTATGATATAGCTAGTCATTTTCCTAAACATAAGGGGGTTTGTTCTTCAGAGTACCATTTATCATATTGTATCATAAGTCAACATAATATTGGCCTTTCTTAAACAGTGCTGGTATAATGGCTTAATTGATAATATATTCACATGTCAAAGATGCACCATGTGTGCTCAGTTCTCCTGCTTGTTCCTGGTTTCATTTAGCATTTTATTTGAGGTTATTTGGTGAATTCTAATGATTTATGTCTGCTAGGGAACGAATTCTAAATATGCATATTTAGAGACACCAGGTGTATATTGTAGAGTTGCCAGTTATGTATTTCCAACAGTAACACTTAATTCTTTCTAGAACACAAAAAAAAGGGATTGAGTTAATATTTTGTTGTATTGCCAAATAATACCTGTACAAACTAGAGATAAATACAGCATAGTTTGGTCGGGCCCAATTTGGCATAAGCCTTTAAATGAATTAGTAAACGTCTTGTGTTTTCCCTTTTCGCGATCCTTCTTGAAGAACAAGATGATATTTAGGATATTTTCAAAATGGGAGATTAAAAAATCTGAAAGTATTCTTCGATATTATAAAATAAAATAAATTTAGGTGCGCTCTCTGAGAAAAAAATGATAACGTGCAATATGTCTGTGCAATTTGTATTGTTAAAAATGCTGTTTTTACTGTAGTTGAACAGCAATATAAAACAAGGAGAAAGAAATATCAATAAAAATAAAGAAAAATTAACATTAATAATCAGAAGGCATCAGCAGCATATCAATCATCACAATAATATTTGGCTGCTGCCAAACTACTACGGCTAGCAGGTAGGCAGAGAAACAACTGTAAAGTCCAGGAAAATCCAAAAGAATGAAAAATTAAGTCAATGTGTCAGTCCATGGAAATAAAAACAAATTCATTCTCAGTTCAACATCGAAGCACATTATTACCTGTAATACCTAATGGAATGAATGGAAGACCGGAGTGGACTAATGAAAATATAGATTCTGAATATAAGCACATGCTGGTATGAATCCCAAACCAAGTGTAACTTCATGCCAAAATTATCTTTCAATGTAGTGGTGTCCAGAAAGGGAAAAGCAAGCAGATCTGTATGGCTAGTTTTAGTGGGATCTTATGTGTCTAGTTTAACCCCTTAAGGACCGAGGACGGTTCAGGACCGTCATCGGCATTTTTGCGTTGCCGACCGATGACGGTCCTGAACCGTCCTAACGGTCAGAGCTACTTACCTGATCGCCGTCGTTCCCCCGGCGGCGATCAGCGTGGCTCCGGTTGTGGGGAGACTGCCTGCAGCCCAGACAGTCTCCCCGCGGCAGATTAGGACCTATGGTATGTGATTAACACAGCGGTCACATGGTCACAATAGGTGTACATCATGTCTGCCTGCAGGGGACTGCTGACGGAGCGGTCTCCTGATATTAACGATACCTTACCTGGGTCCGCCGATCCCGCGCGGCAAGACAGCTTCCCCGGCTACTTCCGGGAGGCGGCTCAGCCTCTCGGACGCTGCCCGCTCGCGGCAAAATCCGTTTTATGACGCGGCGCATGCGCGCCGACGTCATAATGATTTTGCAGCGAAAATTCAAACGCGGCCACGCTCCCGAACCTTTTGGGGGCGTGGCTTTAAAGTGACACACACATTAGTATAAAAGGGCATTCCTGTCCACACCTCAGTGCCCTAGTGTGGTTCTTGATTGTTCCCCTAGTGCTCTTTTACTGTTTTGCTGTTTTTCTGGTATTTTGACTCTTGGCTTTCGTTCTGACTATTCTCCTATCTGGCTCCCTGACTTTTGGCTTGGTTTTTTCGTATATCCCGATTTCCGTACTCCTTTGACCCTCGGCTTTTTCTTGACTATTCTTTGACGTTAAGTCCGGCCACCCTAAGGTCCGGTATACGTCCCTTTCAGGGTTACCATCTGTGTGAAGGGGTCACTATCGTGACATTACACTAGGGCCATGGACCCTGCAGGTGCTAATCCTCATGGCCCGGTTCCTGATAATCGATTTGAGGAGCTGGACCATCGTATGGACCAGTTTGCTGTAGCCGTTCAGACCCTGTTAGCTCGGACTGCACATCTACAGCCAGAGGACCATATTCCGGGTCTTAGACCTCAGGAACCTCATTTGGAGATGGCGACAGGGGGAGCTTCTGCCCATGCCACATCCCCTCTCCGTTACGGAGGTGATCCCAAGGGTTGTCGGGGTTTCCTCAATCAAATAAGTATTAACTTTGAACTTCATCCTAGGGCATATCCTACTGATAGAGCTAAGATTGGTTATATTATAACATTGTTAGTCGATAGAGCACTAGTTTGGGCTAATCCATTGTGGGAAAACGACAATCCCATAGTTTTCAACTACGCAGAGTTTGTCGCAGCCTTTAGAAGAACATTTGATCCCCCTGGGAGACGTACCAATGCTGCTAAAACCCTCTTACGAATGAAACAAGGGTCTCGTTCCCTTGTGGACTATGCTCTAGAATTTCGCACTCATGCTGCAGAGGTCAGATGGAATGAGCAGGCCTTTGTAGATGTGTTTATGAACGGACTTTCTGACAAACTTTTAGATGAGGTAGCCACCCGAGATCTCCCTAATGTGTTGGAAGAATTAATTACATATCTAGCACATATAGACGAACGTCTCAGACATAGACAAAACACCAGGGATAGACCTAGGCGTATGCCAGAACGCCTGGCATTAACGTTTCCTTCATCTGAGGAAACCTCTGTCGCTCCAGTAGAACCCATGCAACTGGGAGCCACACGGTTGTCTGAACCTGAGAGACAATATAGACGAAGGGAGGGACTTTGTATGTATTGTGGGAAAAGAGGACATACCCGCTTACACTGCCCAAGCCGGCCGGAAAACTCCAACGCCTAAGCCCTCAAGGAGGACAGGCCTTGGGTGTAACGTGTATGTCCTCCTTCCAAGATAGAAAAGAACTCAGGCTTCTTCTACCGATAACTATAGAATGGGAGAAAAAGTTAATAAATACTTCTGCGCTAATAGACTCGGGGGCAGCTGAGAACTTTATTGACCGTACTTTCGGCCAACACCACAACCTCCCATTTCGAGAAAGAACAACACCCTTGGCCGTTGAGGCCATAGATGGTAGACCATTATCCATTCCTTTTATCACTCAAGAATCCAAACCCTTAGTCTTGACTGTAGGTTCATTGCATAAAGAAACCATAATCTTACAGCAAATACCTTCTCCTACCTTTCCGATTATACTTGGGTTTCCTTGGCTTACCAAGCATAATCCTCTAATTAACTGGGAGAGAAAAGAATTAGTAAAATGGGGTGATTCTTGTTTTAAGGAGTGTATCAGTCGAGTTAAACCTATAGGACTCCTCAACGTTCCTACCATGGAACCATTAACCACTCGAACCATATCGGGATCTCAAGGCAGTCTTTGAACAAAGGGAAGCAAACAAATTACCACCCCATCGTTCTTATGACTGCGCTATTGAATTGTTGCCTGGTACTATGCCCCCTAGGGGTACCGTGTATCCCCTCTCTGTAACAGAAAACAAAGTACTGGAAGAGTACATCACAGAAAATTTGAAGAAGGGTTTTATTACCAAATCATCCTCCCCGGCTGGTGCAGGGTTTTTTTTTGTTTCCAAAAAGGAAGGTGACCTAAGACCCTGCATCGATTATCGGGGATTAAACAAAATAACTATACGAAATGCGTATCCTATTCCGCTCATTACTGAGCTTTTTGATAGGTTAAAGGGTGCTACCATATTCACTAAACTAGACCTACGGGGAGCTTATAATTTAGTTCGTATTAAGAAGGGACATGAGTGGAAAACGGCCTTCAATACTCGCTATGGCCATTATCAATATAGGGTTATGCCCTTCGGTTTATGCAACGCTCCGGCAGTCTTTCAAGATTTTATAAACGATGTATTAAGGGACTATCTACAAAGATTTGTTGTTGTTTATTTAGATGACATACTCATCTACTCAAAGAATATCAAGGAGCACCATAGGCATGTCAGAATAGTATTATCCAAATTATTAAAGAACGGACTTTACTGCAAATTAGAAAAATGTTTATTTGACGTGGAGAAGGTTAATTTCTTGGGTTACATAATTTCTGGTTCCGGCTTTCAAATGGAACCCAAAAAACTAGAAGCCATTTTAAATTGGCCCCTACCCGGTGGACTAAAAGCCATCCAACGTTTCCTGGGGTTTGCTAATTACTATAGAAAGTTTATCAGAGGATTTTCCTCTATTACCGCTCCTATTACCGCTATGACAAAAAAGAATAGAAGTCATACGGTGTGGAGTACTGAAGCTAAGGAAGCCTTTGAAAAATTGAAGCTAGCCTTTTCTTCAGCCCCGGTGTTAAGTCACCCTAATCCTTTGCGTCCTTTTTTGCTAGAAGTGGATGCTTCTGAGACAGGGATAGGAGCTGTACTCTCTCAGAGATCCTCGAATGACCAGCCCCTACATCCCTGTGGCTATTTTTCTAAAAAACTGACGGAAACAGAACGTAGATACGATATAGGGGATAGGGAATTGTTGGCTATCATTTCAGCACTCAAAGAATGGCGGCATCTATTAGAGGGGACATCTGAACCGATCATCATCTTCACTGATCACAAGAACCTCTCCTATTTTGGAGAAGCTAAAAGAATGACTGACAGGCAGATTCGTTGGTCTTTATTCCTAACACGTTTTAATTACTTAGTGACATACAGACCCGGTTCTAAGAATACAAAAGCAGATGCCTTATCTCGGCAACATGAACACATATCCCCACCAGTAACCCATTTATCTTCTATAATCCCTACTTCACAAATAGTGGCTACGGTACGTACTAAAATCTCTTCTAGCTTAATAGAAGTATTGTCTAAATTTCAAAACCACAACTCCCTGACTATCCCTCAGGGGAAATTATACGTACCCTTCAATTATAGAAGACGAATCCTATCCTTGGTACACGACTCTAAGATTGCCGGTCATCCCGGTATCCATAAAACAGAAGCACTACTCGAAAAGCAATTCTGGTGGCCTTCTTACAAGAAGGACATTCGAGAATATGTCCTGGCCTGTAACATTTGTTCCTCTAGTAAGTCTCCTAAAAGTCGTCCTTTAGGCCTCCTCATGCTGTTGTCTATCCCTGAAATGCCCTGGTCAAGTATCGCCATGGATTTCATAGTAGACCTGCCACCTTCAAAAAATCACCGGGTGATTCTAACTATCATCGATAGATTTTCCAAAATGACCCACCTAGTCCCTTTAATTAAACTTCCTTCATCCTCAGAACTGGCCACGATATTCATAAGGGAGGTGGTTCGTTTACATGGTATCCCTACAGACATAGTCTCTGACAGAGGCTCACAGTTTATTTCCAGGTTTTGGAGGGCGTTTTGTGTTCAGTTAGGTATCAAACTTAACCACTCCTCTTCGTACCATCCCCAATCCAACGGAGTTACTGAGAGAATGAATCAGTCACTAGAGCAGTACCTCCGTTGCTTCATCTCCGATCACCAAGATGATTGGAAGGAGTTACTCCCTTGGGCTGAATTCGCCCACAATAACTGGGTTCACGAATCAACACAACATAGCCCCTTTTTGTAAATTATGGCTTTGACCCTACTACTCTTCCGAGTTCTTTTTCATCCTCCGCTGTGCCTAGTGTTGACTATACTGTGAGGAATATGAAAGAAACTTGGTTAGGGGTCAAGCGTATCCTGACTCATAAGGCCGATGCTCAAAAACGCAAAGCGGACACCCGGCGCAAGAATGCTCCGAATTTTATAGTGGGAGATAGAGTGTGGTTGAGTACACGCAATATTAAATTACGAGTCCCATCTATGAAATTTGCTCCGCGTTTCATTGGTCCTTTTAGGATCCTCCAACGGATTAATCCAGTCTGTTATCGCCTGGATTTACCAGCTAATATGAGGATTCCCAATTCCTTTCATGTTTCTCTTCTGAAACCTTTGATTTGTAATCGCTTTACTCGTAAACCCAGGTCTCCTCGTTCTACTCTCATTGATGGCCAAAACGAATACGAGGTTAGGTCTATTTTAGACTCTCGTATCTCTAGAGGTCGGCTCCAGTATCTGTTGGATTGGAAGGGGTACGGTCCCGAGGAAAGGTCATGGGTTGATGCCTCGGACGTGCACGCGCCTCGCCTAGTCCATTCCTTTGCTAGGCGTCGTTCTCGCGGGCCCTGTCCTGCCCGCCCTGGGGGCGGTCCTCGAGGGGGGGTACTGTAACGATACCTTACCTGGGTCCGCCGATCCCGCGCGGCAAGACAGCTTCCCCGGCTACTTCCGGGAGGCGGCTCAGCCTCTCGGACGCTGCCCGCTCGCGGCAAATTCCGTTTTATGACGCGGCGCATGCGCGCCGACGTCATAATGATTTTGCCGCGAAAATTCAAACGCGGCCACGCTCCCGAACCTTTTGGGGGCGTGGCTTTAAAGTGACACACACATTAGTATATAAGGGCATTCCTGTCCACACCTCAGTGCCCTAGTGTGGTTCTTGATTGTTCCCCTAGTGCTCTTTTACTGTTTTGCTGTTTTCCTGGTATTTTGACTCTTGGCTTTCGTTCTGACTATTCTCCTATCTGGCTCCCTGACTTTTGGCTTGGTTTTTTCGTATATCCCGATTTCCGTACTCCTTTGACCCTCGGCTTTTTCTTGACTATTCTTTGACGTTAAGTCCGGCCACCCTAAGGTCCGGTATACGTCCCTTTCAGGGTTACCATCTGTGTGAAGGGGTCACTATCGTGACAACCAGAAACTTGAAATCTAAACATCTTTCTACATTTTATAAGTTATTACAAAGTGACCAAAACACTCACCACCTCCACTCATGGACGTATGTGCCAAGTACCTCTATTAGTTGCAACATAATCGAAGCTAACTATAAAAGAGTCTCAAGATGGCACTACTCTCCTGAAAAATGTCATAACCTCTACCCAACTGTCTCAAACAAGTGTTGGAGATGCACTCGAGAGACAGGCACCTCAGCACATATCTAGTGGTTTTGTCCCATGATACAAGACTATTGGAAATAATTGTATTATTAATTAACAATACAACAAAAGTATGCATATCCTGTATCCATAAATAGTGCTCTTTTTACTGTACCTATTCCCAATTCCTAAACCACAATGTATTCTTATCACTAATTTGTTCACAGCAGCAAACTTACTTATCCCTACCAAATGGAAACTGTCAGGATCACAGTATGATCCAGCACGTAGAATTGTGTAACACAGAGGACTCATCGGTAATGTATAGTCAGGAATAGCCAAGGTCAATGGACCAAAGAGACACAACGATAAGGAAAAGCCAGGGGGATGCCAGAAAACAGGGAAGTCAAAAACAATGCCAAAGTCAAAATACCAGAATAACCAGAATTCCTATTTGCATGATTGCTGCTCAGCACAAACCCTCCTGTGGATTTAATTGCTGCTCGGCACAACTTTTTCTGTCAGAACAGTAAATGTAAACCGACTAAGCTCATAATAGCAGCATATACTCCCATCCGAACGCTGATATTAGATATATTGTGTTAGACTTCTCTGTAGCAAGACAAACTCCTGTATTCTACTTTGTTCAATTTGATGTCACATGGTAGTCAAAGTGGGGGAGCTTATTTACATCTAGATTAAGTCCCCGATAGCAGCAGATCCTACTTTGATCTCATTTTGTTGTCCATTGTCTGGTAATGCCCTTCATACTGTCTTTTAGAAATGTTAACAGAGTTTTATTGAATGACTATGTATGTGCATCTCATTGTCAAGATATCTCGATTGTTATTTATTGATGCACTTACTGTCATGTACCTTCTACGATGAACGATAATAAATGTAAAAAAATAAATGGTTGCCTAATATTGATGGTTGCATATTACTGATAATAAATTCTTGAGTAATTATGATGCTGAGGCTACATGGTTGTCAGATTTTGGTTGCATTCTATTGAATAAAAAATTCTACGATAATCACAAGCTGATTTTTGTGGAAATTGCATATTAATTTGCTTGATCAAATTGGATTAAATTACTGCATTGCCATATTTCATTATATATTCATTGTGATTGATACCACGCATACTCATTACTTTATGTCACAATGAAAGTACAGATTACTTTAACTGGTTGTGTTTAATTGGTGAATCATAATAAAAATCAAAAGAACAACGAATTGAGGGTGTAGGAGTGAAAAGTAAGCACTCCCTGCTTAAATATATATAAATTACAATTGGGGAGTTTTTTTCTAATTAATATAATAGCACCAGAATATCAATTTTTGTAAAAATGTTTTATTTTTTTAAATAATTCTTTATTTTTGTAGTGCTTGTGCGATACAATACATGCAGTGAGTCAGATAAGGCATTTAAAAGCAGAAATAACAACATTATCATCATATGACAGAATTATAGCACTTTTTTCTATAGGCATGAGGGAGCTGTCCTGGGCAGCTTGATGGTGTTGCTCGGTTTCCCTAGGGTGCTGGAGCTGTTATGCGGTTGTGAGCATTAGTGGGGGAGAGTAGTTGTGTCTCGCATTTTAATGAGTAAGTGTAACATGATGATTCATGTTCCTTGTGAACCTCTATCTAGCTTGCTTTTACTCTAGCTAAGACTCCTGTGTGTGTTCAAGTGGGAAGCTGTGAGTGGTGCAAGTTGAATTTCGTCAAGGGGCCTGAAAGAGGGCCGGTGTGAAGGGGTGCCCCACATGGGGGTGGGGGGGTGGTCTAAAGATATCTCCGTTATTTTGGTACATATGTGTTCCGCCATTCCTATTCTGAGTTGTGTGTGCTATGGCCAATCTGTATCTTTGTGGAGCCTGTGGGCTTTTATCGCGCCATATAAGGACGCCTAGTGTAGCCTATGGTAACAAATGGGGTGCAATGAAAAACGAAAAACCTACAAACATTCTTTAACGTGATGTAAACAATATAGTAGGGTGACCAGTTTAGCGAACTAGTTCCTCAGCGGTCATTTTTCTCCCCAGCAAGGTCCCTGGGTAACCTGCTTGTCGGTGGTGTGTGTTCAGGTCCCTGAGGCATTGAGGGTTGCAGCCCTCGCTACAAATGGGGTGACATTCGCCGGGTTTAAAGTCCCTGATGGGGCTCCTGCTGATGGATCTGGATCGGGTGCTGTGAGGCCCAGTGCTTCCAGG